CTCCAGTTCCTAGACAATCCTAAGACATTTCGACATTCACAACTGCGACTAATTGGCATATTCCGCGATAAACACGATGATAGGCCTCCAGACGGAAGTATTTGCCATTGTAAAAAACCTTTAAAAGTGGATCACCTTCTCCACGGGTATCTTTGATCGCAAGGTGCAGTCCATCCACACCGTTGACTTGTTCTTAACTTCCAATTCCTCTATTTTCTTGGATTTACATCCATTTTCCACTCTTGGCTCATAGGATTGTAGTTTCGTCAGCCTTAGTTTTCACACTCCACCTGTTTTCCCAACATTTCTGACCGCACATTCTGGCGGAACCCGGCCTAGGGAGTGAACCGGCTTCCATGGTCTCCTGGCATCCTATCCGTGGCGCAAGCACTGACAATGATAGTGTCACCTCGGCTGGGGATTAAACGTTTGNTGCCAGGTTCGGCGAACGGTCGAAATGGAATTCAGTTCATCCTAGCTACAATAACCAATTTTCCATACTTCATTAATAGACTCCTTGTGTTTGTTTGGCGAACGAAACACCGCTGATGTGCTTGTTCGTCAATTAGTATACAGTGACATATGAATATGGCTCATACAAAATAAAACTTGCTTTGAGCATAAAACTTGAAAATGAAAGGATCTTGGAATGGCACAAGCGTTACGGCATTTACTTGACAAAGGCCTTCCACATAGGTCGTTTTCATGTGAAACTACGCAACTAAAGAAGCCATATTTCTTGGTTTTGAACTTGATCGATTTTGATTGCGTCATCAAGTGAATGATACATTCTGATAATTGTTATGGTGTTAAGATAGTGGTCCGTCCAGGCATTGTAATGTTTCGCCTGAACAGCTCTTGCCAACTGCAGTTCTTTGGTCTCATTGAACTCTGGTCTTATTTGTTTTATTACTGCCGATTTTCGGTATTCGGAACACCTATCACACTGCTTTTGTTCTAGTAACTTGAATTCAATTCGTATTTTTTATTTACCANTCTACGCTCGCTATCGGAACCGGGCGTCTGTCCTCGTTCAACCCATTCCCAGGTTCAACGGACTCCACTACTGCACCCAACTCGGAGACCCTAAAAACCTTGCTTTCCAGTTCCGCTGCGAGTAATACCATTTCTTCCCTTGTGTCCGCATCCAACCCTATCCCGGAGAGAGAATCACGCACAGAAGGTCTGACTCTAACCGAACTGGAAGAGTCGATTGAGATTGGACGGAAAGACGGGGATTGGTCTCATCTAATTGGTCTTCTTAGTGCGGTATTCAGTTCTTACGAAGCACTGTCCTCCAGTTTCCCAAGTGAATTAGATTCTACAGATGATTCTGCTGCAGCTCGGTTGGATCCGTCTTCCAGTTCGTATTCCAAATTTGGCCCTAGCCAACCCACAGGAGACGGTATGACGCGGGCAGAAGGCGATCATGATCAACTATGTAGTGAAATCCCAATGGACGAAGATGGTGGGTTCTCACATAATTCTTTTTTGCAAAACGGGGAATTCATTCACCTTGCTATTTTCGTATGTGAAAGCGTGATGTCAAATAGAGTAAACTTTTTTGTCGCATCCCGTCATCCATAATTATGTTTGTACCAGACGTTTCTCTTTGTCACACTGATTTGTTCAATAACTCACGAGCGATCAGTCGTTGAATGTGTGTCACGGAGTACCACAAGTGCATGTTCATCAGAGATAAATGCTACCAAGCGCTTCTGCAGGTCGTGGATAGGAGAACGGTCACCTAGGCGAATTATAGTGAATAGGTGAGCACTAACACACCGTATCCACACAGTATCGCCGCATTCGAGGAGATTTGATCTTGGTATACCAAATAATGCGGAACCCAGACCACCCATGTCGTCCACTCCTTTCCTTGTCGCCCAACACTTACCTGCGGGGGCACTCATTCAAATTAGCGCTCCAAAAATGCCGACTAGAATGCCGGCGGCATTCATTCGCCCTCAGAGTGTGCATTACTTGGAATTCTCTACCACCACAGATTTTCTCTGCACCAACAATTGATTCATTCAAGCGCAATCTGGATGAAGCTTTAAAAAGTCTTAAATTTCAACATTCGTAGAAGTGCACGAAACAAGGACAAATTGTGACATTGTGACATTCATCTACTTTGTATGTACTGTGAACCGATTCATCTGTGCCAAACCCTATGGGACTAGAAAAGCAACCGCTTGTAAGTATTTCCTATAATAAAACTTTAACTTTGACTTTGAATAAACGTTCTCAGACGATCGGTGGTGGTGGGTGTCCACCTGATTAGCGATTAAAAATGCCCATTTGTTTGAAGACACCATTGTGTTGTTTGCGAATATAGTCCAATGGGTAAAACCGAAGCCTTCTTTTCTCGCTTGATGACGGAAGTAAATGTCTACTTGAGAAAAGGCAGAAGTAGGGAATGTTGGATACCCTGAGTTGCACGGATATCGCAAAAGCGGTAAGCCCAATCACCAAAGAAATTTTGCGAGGGGATATATGTGAGGGGGACATTCATACGGAAACCAATTTGCTGATCCTGTCCCCGTCATTCTTCATAGTTTCCGCAATACGCGCGAGGAGCAGGCTGATCTTCGTGGGTTCATGGATGAATTCGTCACCCTCTGACAATTACTTACCAGAGACCAACTGTCATCGAGTTTCTAGACACCCATGCGGCCTTCGATTCTGTCGATAGGGCTGCATTATAGAGCTGCTTGCTTAAAAATAGAGAACCCGAGAAGTATGTGCCCATGTTCAAACAGTTATGTCTTTATACCTCAAGACGGCTAGTTTGTAGTCGGTTTTTGCCACCCTTCATCGTCTCCAGTGGGGTGCCGGAAGGTTGCCCTGGGTTCACGTTCCTCTCCAATTTTGCCATAGAGGATGTTCTACGGAATTCTTTGTTCAGTCTAGCAAACGGCGGATTTGAACTTCTCTCAGGCGACAGAATTCTTGATTTAGACTATGTCAAGGACATGTCGAGGCTCATGAAAAAATGGTTGTATGCCTGCGCCCCTTCTTTGTCCGTCACGACGAGACTGCACCTAGACGTGGTGTGATAACTTACGTGACTTATAATCTGGTGAGCTACACAGGATGGCTTTTCACAGTCGCAGATCCAATCATGCCTGAGAGGTCAATGGGTAGAGGCCAGCTGAAATATGGGTTTCCCGGTAAACAGGTTATGTCAAAACGTATAAGGCTTCCGGCCTGGGTCGGCTGTTCCCATCGCTTTTTAAGGATTGCGGTTCGGTCTTGGTTTGGGAGTTGAATAAACTCCTGGGATCAATATGGCAGAGGGAGTGAATTCCAACTGACTGGTGTGAATCGGTCATCTTACCGATTTACAAAAACGGCGACAGATCCACAGGGGAATCAGTTTGATCAGCATTATCTCTAAAATCGCTTGCATCATACTCCGTCGATTGTCTGCCGCACGTAAAGAGTGCATGCGTGAGAATCAGTCTGGTTGAGGTTGCATCGACCACATTTGCACTCCGCAAAATTCTGGAGCAGAGACACTCCTTTCATAACTCCACCATTGCGATCTAGAAGTGGCTTTCGATTCATTCGTCCGCTCCAAAGTTTGGAACTGTCTCCCTCTGAAAGTTGTGCCCGAGTAGTTTGTTTCAGTTTTGAGATCTCCGTATACTAATAGTCGAAGCGGAGTTCGACCTTACAGCACCTTTTCACCCGACTTCACCTTAGGATGTGGTGTTCGTCAGGGTTACCCGCTCTCTCCGTTTCTGTTTAGCTTTGTCATAGATTTAATTCCTGAAACAGCCCTTCTCTCGTGGGAGGATAGCGGCATCTATTTGCTCCCAGGTGGCAGACTGTCTAATCTGGAGTGTGCAGACGATATTCTACTGCTATGTGAAGATCCAGGTAAATTGCAAGCGTTTCTGCAAAGTTCGAATGCTAACGTCGCCCTGTTCGGTATTCTTTTTGTACATTCAATGTGCAATAGGTTGCGCATGACCGAGTTGGTCCAGCACCATACTTCACTGTATATAGAAAAGTTATAGAGCAAGTAGAAAAATTTCGTAATTTTTGGGAGCTATATGTCACCTAGCGGATGCGGAATGCTCGATTGGTATTTGCCAACATCCATGACGCTGTCGCAACATTCGGCTGCCCGTGAAGTATATATTTTTATATTTTCGCACACGTCTGAATCCAGACTGTGTGCCAAATGAATCACGGTACAATAATCTTTATGAAAAAGAAGAGTGTTCTATGATTTGCATGTGGGCGAAATACTGCCAGGTTGCCCTGGCCAAGGCATGTGAATTTTCTTGAGGAATCCACAACCGGAGTATTCGGCTAGCCAAAGCCTTACCCCCAAGGCAGCGGGGCGGTGTGTGAAAACGTCAATCCATTGAAGTCCGGCGTCCAGTTCATCGGATCATACGCCCTTTGGACGGAGTCAAACCTCCAAGGTGCCCAATACACTTCAATGCCCAAGCAAGCCATTGCCCAGTGCCACAACCAGGAAGTTGTG